AAGAACAGGCGCCGTGAGCATCAACTTTTGGCTCCGCGCGGAGTTCTCGGATCCGCGCGGGGCCCCCCCGCGCCTCCTCTGGGCGCCCGAAATGGGTGCTGAAAGAATGGGTACTGTGCCCAACAGCGGATCTTGTTCATCTTGAGCAGGACTCGCTGTCCACGCCGCCGCGGCCCGTGTCCATTCGAGACAGGAGGTCGCCCGCCCAACCGCGGCCGCTGTTGGTTCGGGACAACATTTGTTGTTGGGCATGTTGCCCATTCTTTCGGTTCCCATTTCGGGTGTCCAAACCTCCGGCGCCGCCCCAGGCGCGCTCCGCGCGCCAGGGCGGGGGGGTCCAGCGCGGATCCAAGAAATATCCGCGCGGAGCGCCAGACGTGTATGTTCCTGCCGTTTTTTCTTCTTCTCGTGCTGCTGCACTTGCCTCGTTTTCCCCTTGCGTGGGCCTCCTGGGGTGCCCTCGTCGCCCCCGCCGGATTCGCCCCGAAGTTCTGGTCCGAGCGCGCCCCTGGAGAGGTCCGGGGGGCACCGGTCTCGGTGCTCGCAGGTTTCCCGAGGCAGGCGCGCCTGGGAAGCGGAGGGGGATCATGGGTTTTTTTTTACAGTGCACCGCTGACGAGCAGGCTCCAAGGGCAACGAGTTGCCTGGGACTGGAGGCCAGGGCAGGGGGATCATGGGGCGACGAGGGGGGGGGATGGGCATACGGGGGGGATGCATCGACCCCCAATCGCCCATTGATCGCCGCTAGGGGCCCGGTAGCACCAGCCCGCCCGGGAAAGTGCGGTTTCGCTACCGCGGGGGCCTATCGCCGACCGATCGGCGATGTATCGCTGATTGCAGCTCCATGCGCCCCCGCTATGCCAATCGAGCATGCACCGCATGGCGTTGTACCTGTCGCGGGGCGACCGACTTAGTCATTGAGCCAGCTGAGGTGATGCACCGCGCGGCGCCGCTGACTCCACACGGGCAACCGGATTCGCTTTTTGGCAGGTTCTGCCCTTCCCGTTTTTCTCCAATTCCTCCTTTCTCCACTCCCCCCCTGCCGTTGCCCCTCAGGGGAGGACCGCCAGAGCGGGCGCGGAGAGAGAGAGAGAGAGAGAGAGAGGAGGCGGCGCGGCGGCCGCCGTGCACCCTGCGGGGCTCCTCCGCTCATCGACGCCCGGCGAGGAGGAGGAGGAGGAGGAGGAGGAGGAGGAGGAGGAGGAGGAGGAGGAGGAGGAGGAGGAGGAGGAGGAGGAGGAGGAGGAGGAGGAGGAGGAGGAGGAGGAGGAGGAGGGGAGGAGGAGGAGGAGGAGGCGGAGGAGGAGGAGGAGGAGGAGGAGGAGGAGGAGGAGGAGGAGGAGGAGGAGGAGTGAGAGGAGAGAGAGGAGGAGGAGGAGGAGGAGGAGGAGGAGGAGCAGGAGGAGGAGGAGGAGGAGGAGGAGGAGGAGGAGGAGTGAGAGGAGGAGGAGCAGGAGGAGGAGGAGGAGGAGGAGGAGGAGGAGGAGGAGGAGGAGGGCCTCGGGGAGGTGCGGGCGAGAGGCGCAGCGGCACGGGCGGCGGTGCGGAGTGCTCGGGGGAGCGGCAGGTGCGGGCGGCGAGGTCCGAGGGAGCGCAAGCACGGGACCGCGAGGCGCGCGGCGGAGTGGCGACGGTCGGCCCCGCCGCCATGCGAGGTCGGCGCGCCCCGTCGTCGCACGAGGCGGCACTGGCGCCATGCTCTGGGGGGGCGCTGCCCCCGATCCAGATCCACAGATCCACTCGGGGGTGGACAGACCTACCCTGACACGTCGATCAAGGAATTGGCCGTTTTCGGTTCGCGAGAGGGCGTCGCGGCCGTCATTTTTGCGTGTCCAGGTCCGTCGGTTTCGGTCCCAGGCCGTTTTCACGAAGGGGAGGTCTACGAAAGGGAGGTTTGTCCACCGCCGATCCATAATCCATACTTGCGTGCGCCCGTTGAAGACTCTGCACACGGGCACGGGCGTGCGCGAGCTGGCTGCCGCCTTTCGTTGCTCCGTCCCACGCTGCGGCGCAGCCCTGCTGCGGTGATATGCAGTCACTGAGGTTGGAGGCGCTCGCCGTTGCTGAAGGGAGCAGGAGCAGAAACAAAAACAAACAGATTTGCGTGTGCCCGCACGCCATAATCCACCGCCCATAACCCCAAAATTCATGAGTCGTTGGCGAAGGCGACGAGCTGGTGCAAGCACTCATCGTTGGCAGGGCGCGGCACTAAGGAAAAACGCGATGATGACGACAAGGATGATGATTGTGCTGGCACTGCCGATCGTGGGGGTGTCTCTTAACTGGCCAAGAGAGGGCCTTGTCGACCACTTCTTGCTGTAACATGTCTGCACCCCTTTGTTTTCCATGGCCACTGTTCTGATCATGTTGGCGAACGCTCTCCGATGGGACCCCGTCCTCAGAATCCTCAGCTGTTCCTTAAGCTTGGCCCTATCGCGCGTATGCCGCGCGCTCGTTGTGGGCACGAACGTGCGAGGAAGACAAGGAAGACGAGGGAAAGGCAGAACGGCAAACAGAGACATAACGAGAACGATATAGTGACAGAGAGAGAGGGAGAGAGAGAGAGAGAGAGAGAGAGAGAGAGAGTCTCGAGACAGAGAGAGAGAGAGGCAGAGAGAGAGAGAGGGAGAGAGAGAGAGAGAGAGAGAGACAGGGAGAGAAAGAGAGAGAGAGAGAGAGAGCGAGTGGGTAGAGAATGAGAGGGAAAGAGAGAAAGAGAGAGAGAGAGAGAGCGAGAGAAAGAGAACGAGAGGGCGCGTGCAACATGTCGGACACCGCGTGTCAGGGCGCGGGGCTACAGGCGCCACACTACGCCCACCTCATGTGGTGGGAGCTGCTGCGTGTACGAAGCGGGGAGGACGAGAACAAAACCTCCCACCCGCCGCGGTCTGCTCGGAACTGCGACTGGAAAGCAGAGCAGGGCATGGTGCTTCAAAAGTGGCACTCCCGATCTGCACGCCCACGGTGAAAGGAGGCCCACGTACAGCACGTTTCGGCATGCGCGCCTCTGGATCCCTGCACGAGGGCGTCGCGAAGGGGCACCCCCGACCGCGACCCAGGGCGTGATCCGTGGGGCGAGTTGCAGGGCTTTCTCGCAGGACGCAGGTCAGAGGAGCCAGCGGCAGTTGCGGGCGGCGGTGAGCGCCGAGCCTCGCCGGAGTGCCCTCGTGCAGGGGCATGGGAGCTCCGGGGTGGAGAGGCGGTAGAGGTGCCGGTGGGCGGCGCCCCAGGCGGAGACAGAGCTCGGTGGAAGCGTGCGGGAAGAGGCCCCGTGTGTCCCTTGGGCGCGAGGCAGCGTGTGCACGAGGCGCGCGGCGCGCTCGTGGAGCGCGGTGGTGGTTGGAGAGGGGATCCGATGCGGTGGCGGCCTGGTGACGGTCCGCCGCGAGGCAGTGGGTGAGGGCAAGACGCCGGTCGGGGGGCGACCGACCGCCCCTGGGTGGATCCACGGTTCCCTGGTGGGCGGGGGGGGGATCGCTGCCCAGACCGCCAGACCCCTGGTGGGGTGGGGTCTGTGCCTGGTGGCAGGTCGCGCGGAGGGAGGGGGTGCTGGTTGTTCGGTGGTCCCTCCCTCTCTCCCTCCCTCCTCCCTCCTCCTCCCTCCTCCCTTCTCCTCCTCCTCCTCCTCCTCCTCCTCCTCCTCCTCCCTCCTCCTCCTCCTCCCTCCTCCTCCTCCCTCCTCCTCCTCCTCCTCCTCCTCCTCCTCCGCAGCAGCAGCAGCAGCAGCAGCAGCACCAGCAGCAGCAGCTGCAGCAGCAGCAGCAGCTTTGGGCGATGGCCCCGTCGCTGGCGATGGCGCACCCTCGCCCAGAGCGGCGGTCCGCGACCCCTCGTCTTCCCCAAGGCGCGTCGTTTCCCAGCAGGCGGCTGGGAGCGGGTTCGTCGGGGTTGGACAGACCTCCTACCCTGACACGTCGATTGAGGAATTGGCCGTTTTCGGTTCGCGAGAGGGCGTCGCGGCCGTTATTTTTGCGGGTCCAGGTCCGTCGGTTTCGGCCCCAGGCCGTTTTCACTAAGGTGAGGTCTACTAAAGGGAGGTTTGTCCACCGCCGAGTTCGGGCACAGTTGCGGGGAGGCGGTTGGCAGCTGGTCCAGGCACCACCAGGGCTCCAGCTGCCCCGTGGAGGGCGGGCAGTGGCACCGGGGACATACGAGCAAGACCTGGTGGTCGTCAGGCTCGTCGCTATGGGCGGAGCCGCCAAAGCCGCATAGGTCTCCGTCGTTGCCGTCGTACGCGTCGTCCACGACGACCTCGTCGGGAGTGGGAGCATCCTGACCAGAGGGCCCAGGTGGGCCATGAGAGGGAGCTTGCGCTGTAGGTGCATCGTCGTCGTCGTCGTCGTCGTCGTCGTCGTCGTCGTCGTCGTCGTCGTCGTCGTCGTCGTCGTCGTCGTCGTCGTCGTTGTCGTCGTTATCAAGGACACCACCGAGCAGCCCGAGCGGGTCTTCATCGCCAGCACCTAAGTCCCCGGGGGGGTGGCCCCAAGGGTCGTCGAGGTCATCGAAGTCGTCGGGCCTTGGTGGGTCTGGGGGACCTGGGGGGCCAGGCACTGGCGGCCCTGGTGGGCCTGGAGAAGGCGAGCCAGAGGTGAGCGGGTCGGGCTCCATGCGGCGTAGTTAGCTCCTCGTGTACCCGACCCGAATAACACCAATCCGCTCTCCCTCTGGGACTTCGCCCCCTGCTCCAGTCCATGGCGTACCTTGTCCTGTGCAAGTTCTTCGGCACCGCCTGTTCTCTGAGCCCTCCGGCCGCCTGAGGCCCCGCCCGCCCGCGCCCTGTCTGCCCAATTAGGGCTACTCGCGCCCCGTTTAGCTCTTGACCGGAAGGGGCCCGCTCCCGACCCGCAGACCAAAAAAGTACCCCGCCCGACGGTCTGGGAGGGGCACGGCGCGGGGGCGACGGTCGTATATGGCCACCGCCGCACTGTGAAGCGCGGCCGCGGACATGTTGCACCATTGAGCCGCGTTAGCCAAGTCTTGCGGCAGCTGGTGGAGGCGCG